TTTTCTATACAGCAGAAAAGACTTCAGTTAAAGCTTAGAACTCCATTCTGATCAGATTGTGTTTCACTTTTTTAGTTTAACAAACTTCTAGCTAGTAGTATTTTCACTTTATGCTACTTTCTCCACAACAGGTGTTTGACAGCTCATGTTATTTTTCAAATTATGAGTTTACTTACAAAGCATGTTAGTTATAAAGGCACTGCAGTAGTTTAATTACAACAGTGAATTTAATTAAGGTCATCTACAAAATGTCACAAAATGAATGCATTAATGAAGACAATTAATATTATAATGCATCACATCTGTATCTACTTTCTGCTTTTAGTTTTACTTACAGGGATAATTTTAAACTTCAGGTTCAGTCGTGTTAAATAGCTTTATAATTCCCTTTTTGTCTCCCAGTGGAGACGAATGATGATTAGGGTTGTCTAGAGTCTGTGTCACAAAGTAAAGGTGTGGGGATTTAAAACCCGTCGGGCATCTAAGAGGGCAAGACTGAAAGATGCTGTTCATTATGGGAAGTGTTTAACGCTCCTGTCGTGCTTTTATTCATCACTGATCTCATCGTGTGGTCTGTGCAGCAGCAGGCAGTGAAAAGCTGAGTGTTAAGGAAGAGCTGGTGGAGAACCGGTTCCTTCCCTCAGGAGCTGAAGGAGACCAAAAGAGAGCAGAGAGTGAATTTACTAATTGGACCCAAACACAGTGTTGGGTCTGTTAATAGCAAGTTAACAGTAGCAGAGATAATGTGTTTTTATTGCAGGTTAAACATGTGCACAGTGTTCAGTTAGAGAAGCCTGAGCAGCACATGGTGAATGGTTTACGTAGTTCTACTGGAAAATGTGCGACTGAGAGTTGTGGCGTCCTGCCAGCCGACATTATACTGTCACAGCAGATGCTGACCTTTGTTAAAATGTCAGATGTCTCATTCTGAGATGAATAAGTCATATGTATGGACTGCTTTCAACTTCCTCTCTCATGAGGCTCATTTAAACCTTGAACATCACTGTGAAAGTGAAATGTGTCGTTTGTCACAGTCAAAGCATAATTGCTGGACATTGGGTGTATGTGGTGATGGAGCTTTTTCATGTCACTTCAATTCATCCATCAGTCAGACGTTTATGCTGACTCTGTATTTAAAAAAAAGAAAACGCGGGGCTCTCTGCTCAGGATGGAGGTCTGCCTTTGTGCCAGTCAGGGATCCCTGCCAGGATTCAAACGGCCTTAATTGAGTTGGAAGTGGTTTGGAAACACATCGTCCTGATTCTCTGTCTGAGATTTAAAAAGGACAGAATCACCTCTATACAGTTCAGAGAGAAATTACAGTAGAGATAGTCGTATGATAGCTCATTAGGTGGATTGTATTTCCAGTCTTTGATTATTATATTGCTTTTGATTAATGGTAAAATCAATTGCTTCCTGCAGCTGATTGATGGCCGTGAGTCGACTCGTGTCAACGTGTCCTTCCTGCGCTCCAAGATCGGCATCGTGTCCCAGGAGCCCATCTTGTTCGACTGCAGCATCGCGGAGAACATCAAGTACGGCGACAACTCGCGGGACATCGGCATGAATGAGGTCATCTCCGCCGCCAAGAAGGCCCAGCTCCACGACTTCGTCATGGCTCTCCCCGAGGTACCGTGGACGTTTTATTTGTGCTGTTTGCGGCGGGGACTGAAAAGCAAAGGCGGCGCTCCCGAGGTTAAAATGAAGTTTACTTAGTATGTGTTCGGAAAACAGGTTGGCAACAGGCGGCCGGTCAGCAGAACAAACAGAACGGAAAGAAAGGGAAGCAGGCAAACACAGGCAGAGCATGAGCAGGAGCAGCTGGATGATCGGACAGCTGGGAGGGGAGGAGGGCATTAATGCACACTGGGACGGAGGACAGGTGGGCCAATGAGGAGCAGGTGTGCAGCTTACAGTGCATCCAATCCCCACCTTCAGGCCCAATCACTGCCCCATCACCAGATGTCACCTGTATGTTAACGAGGGCTTCAAATGGACCTCCAGTCAGTACCGTCACTCTGTGTTGGTGACGTTTAGACCTTTTTGCAAACACCAGAAGTCAGGAGGGTCTGTGAATCCTATCTGGACAATGACTGAAAATACAAACTACTTAAAAAACCACAACAGCTGCTGACGGATAAACATTCCAGCAGATTCCTTCCTGACATCGTGTCTGGGTTTGTCTACATTCTGTGGGAGGAATGACGAGCAAGTCCTTCAGGAAGAGATATGCAAACAGAAAAGGTGCACAGTGGTGGAGAAAAGTCTGCACCGGAGCCTTCGTGGCTTTTCCAGTTTGACAGTGGGACACACCTGGAGGGAGCACATGTCGAAGCCAGGTAGTGCTGAGATTGGACTGGGCCTAGGAGTCCTCCGAGCTGCCAATAAACTTCCCTCACTAGTTTTCTCTTCAGACCGTTTGACAAAGCTGCAGTGAGCTCAGGTCAGGAGGAGATGACCCTGCTGCTGCTGGAGACGACATCTGGCTTCACAAAATCAATCCAAGTCCACATAAACATGGACATTTATAAATATTTACACTAAATAGGACGGCTCAGTGTAGGATATAAAGGATCCACGTCGTCTTGCATTATAATCACATGCAGGTATTTCAAACCCGTCGTTCACTGTTTAACTTTCATGCAACACAAAGCGTCTGTTTGTGCCGTAACCATCAGAACACACTCATACTAACACCAGAACACGACTCGTCTGCAGCAGGCCACCAGCGGCTACGCCTCCAGTTCCCTTATTAGTGGATCGCTACCTGTTTCACACAACATGCATATATTTACATGAGCAATAGCCAGTTCCTCCTACACATCCATTACTCTCACACATCTTCTCTCCACTGCTGCTCACCTCAAAGTCCGCTGAGTGACATGAGCCCAGCCGGGCCTCCGACCCACTGCAATGCAAATGAGCATAAAGAAACTCATAATAAACCCAAACAGAAAAATAATATTTGAGAATGTGGAGAGTGTTTCCCACATCTGAAACACATGAAACTGTCCAGCAGAACTTGGCCCGGAGACAAGCAGAGAGTACCTGGTAGAGGTTCTGGGACCAGATCCAGCCCAGTCTAATCAGGCTCGGTTATTATTATTGTTATGATGCTGCTGCTGCTCTCCCAGTACACCTGCTTCTTCACTCTCTCTCTGGGTCCAGGTCTCTTTGGATCCTGTCTCTTCTGCTGGGTTCTGGCTTTGCTCGGGTAACCCCTCACATTGGGTATCTTTCTTTTGAAAATCAATTTATGCACGTCTGGTTTGGTTTCGTCTATCGCGGGTTTGTTTGAGATCTGGATTCGATCTCTATTTCCCCGCCGACTAGCAGGAGACCAGCGCCGGCAGACGCCCCGGTGGGTCCACCGATGGCCAGATCTAATAGACATGAAGAAAGAGGAATTGATTTCATGTTGCCGAGTCTGGACTTGCCTCAGACGATAACAACAAAGAGCAGTCAGTCAGTTATTAGATGAAAAGGTGTTTAGACAGAGAAAGTTTCATTAGTCTGTGAAGCGAGTTCCAAATAAACTCCTCGTACTTCCACTGATGCCACCGTGTGAGTGAAAAGTCAGCATCTGAATCTCTTTGACTAAACTAAAATGTAAAAATACCGTTTGGTTGGATAATTTGATTAAAGCATCGATAACCTCCGTCTTTAAAGCAGCAGAAGAAGCAGCTTGATCTCACGTTACGCCGGTGAATCCGCTTCCTCCAATCATCAGACCGGCGGTCCTCTGGTAGATGTCCATCTCTGGGAACATCCTCATCTTCAGATTCTCCTTTTACTGTTTACTTCCACTTTCCAAATCCAGAATTCATATTGTGCAAAATAAGATGATTGAACAGCTTCACACCAAACACAGCCAGTGACCGTTCTGATGGTTCATGGCTTCTGGTTGGAGCTCACATCCTCCAGACGAGCCGGCGGTCACCAGGATGGCTTTACTATCACCAAGAGGCAACCAAACCGCTATCACCGCAGAAGTCAATCAGCACGTGGAATAATATTCTGCTGCTGTTTGCATCCCAAATCACAGCTGACTCATTGGGATTTTAAAGGCAGGTCAAGAACTTTGATAAAATCTCCTCTGAGCAACCAAAGCTGAAGCTAACCGATGCTACAAAGCAGAAGCTATAAAAAGACATCAAAGTGCTTCTGGCTTCAGTTTCCACTCTATGAAATGTCATTAAGCAACAGCAGCGGAGGGGAAGTCAGGAAAAGATGGAAAAGAAAACCTCCGTGTGACTTCAAAGGAGCCGACACAGGCAGATGTTTTACTGAGCAGCACCAACAGGGTCCACATGCACGAGGAGGCATCACATAAGTCAGTATGTCAGGTCTGCAAACAGGTGCTCAAGCTCCAACTGGCCTTAATCACTGCATTTGGAGAATAAGGTCAGTTCAGGCTTTCTGCATCACTGTGGCAGCAAGGATCCATAAATCTGCTCGGGGGTCTGCGGCCGGTCCAGAATTTGTGGCTGCGTGGAACGTCCACACTCCAAGACCAAGGACCGTTCACGTGTCAGGAAACAAAACGGAGCTTCAAACAAACGTACGAGGAGATTCTCCATCATCCACACCTTCAGAGTCCGTCGTTACACGAGTCGTGCTTGAAGTGGTCGACCGCTGGACTTTGATTTGTGCATGCTTTACAGCGACCCCGCTCCAACACAGCAGGACGGTCTGAGTTCTGTAGAAATGTTCCCACTGCGCTCAGCACACCTCCGAAATAATCACAGTGACACGCCGCCGCCGCCGCCGACCGATCTGTAAGCAGCCGCTGTGTCCTGGAGAAAGTGCAAAGTCACAAGCAGCCTTTCACAAACACCCACGGGAGCACAGGAGTGTGGTTTAGTGTTCGATACGACCGTCTGCAGGCCCACGTCTACCTGTTGGAGTATGAATAGAACCGCGTGCGCATTCCAAGTCTGCATCGCTCGTACACAAACCCTGAATTGGCCATTAAAGGAGCAGCTTTGAAAAGAACCGCTTTCAGCACCAAGGTGGAAATATTCAGCTTTTTACGTGGGCAGCCAGCGACAGTAAACAGACAGACGGGAGTGTTGGTCCATTAAACGGCAGCAAATTCATCTGCAATCAGTGCAGAAAAAGCTTCTGCATCAGGATCCGAAGCAGAGATCAAGAAACACGAGCCGGAGGTGTCGGATCAGCCCTCACAGCTTCTAGACAATCCGTGGGGAGAGGAGATCTTTTATAAGCTGTGCTACAAGGCAGGGGGAAATTATCAGAGAGGTGATGTAGACAGAGGAGAGAGGAACACTCCTGAATCCAGAAACACTTTGAACAAGCTGCAGCAGAGTGAAAGCAGGGGGACGACTACCAACACCTCAGTCTGGCTACGGTACTCGTTTTTTAGATTCATGAAACAAAAGCCCATCTGCAGCGTCTGCTTGCTGCACGAGTTGCGTTTCAAATCAACAGTTTGCACAGATCTCGTTTTTCCTCCTTCCCGTAGAAATACGACACCAACGTGGGCGCTCAGGGTTCTCAGCTGTCTCGCGGCCAGAAGCAGCGCATCGCCATCGCCAGGGCGATCATACGCGACCCCAAGATCCTGCTCCTCGACGAGGCCACCTCCGCCCTGGACACGGAGAGCGAGAAGGTACGCTTCAGTGAGCCCTCGGTTTGCCGATTCCACACACTTCACATCACAGCGCAGTGCAGCTGCTTGATATTCTCCAGGCGCAGAGAGCAAGGAGAGCAGGCAGTTAATTATTATTATCATTAACATCATTATCATTCATCATCTCTATTATTATCACCAGCAGCTCACAGTTCATAGCAACCCTCCAGTAGAGCCTCTTTAAGATGAATATGGTCTGTGGGCCTATGCGCTGGCTTTTTCAGCTCTAACGGCTGAACCACGCTGAGGCGCAAAGAGGCCTCTGCAGCGCGCCGATTCACTGGAACATCCTAATGACAGTAATCAGCGCGTGATTGTCAAATTGCTATAATTGTGAGCTTGTGTGTGTCTGTTGTGTGGGAGAGCTGAGGATGTGTTGTGTTTGTGAGTCTGTGAACGCCGCTTAATGTGTGTTTTTATGCCCGTGACAGACCGTGCAAGAAGCCTTAGACAAAGCCAGGGAGGGCCGGACCTGCATCGTCATCGCCCACCGCCTCTCCACCATACAGAACTCGGACATCATCGCCGTCATGTCCCGGGGCTTCGTGATCGAGAAGGGAACGCACGACCAGCTCATGGCCCTGAAGGAGGCCTACTACAAGCTGGTGACCACGGGGGCGCCCATCAGCTAACCGCTCAGGGAGGCGGGAGCCGTGTGCTCTTGGCAGTGCTGCTACGATACATGAGGAGAGGCAGGGACTGGACGTACGCCATACTTTAAATTACAAGGATGCAGAGAGCCCAGAACGGTGGACACACCTGTTCACTCTCACAGTATTTATTTTTGTAGAGGGGATCCTGTCATTAAGGGAGGGACAAACCCTAATCAAGTCGCTGGGTTTGTCCCAGTCCCCACACCTGTCCTCCCAGTAGGTAACGCTTCTCTTCCAACATCTGAAAAATGTCCTCAATTCTCCTGCGTGGCGTGATTCCAGTTGCTAGTGGAAAAGCTGAATATACAGCCAACCAGTGGTGGGAATAACATTTATCATTCAGCACAATTGTGAGGTACTTTAGCAAAGTACTGCTGTTTGAAGTTACTTCATTCTTTACTTTAGACGATTTCACAGCTGTACAAGACAAACTATTGTTATATTAAATGGAATAAATGATCCAGCAATAGTCAGAAAGACCAATTACAACCGTGAAATGTTATAAAAGAATGCATTTGTAATAATGATTCAATAATGTAGGGTATTTTTTTTGCATAGTAACTTTTGATACCAAGTATATTTTTCTACTAATACTTTTGTTTTTAAGTATAAAAATGCAGCAGCGTCACTCATCATCTGGTCACATGTTGATGCTCTTACTACATCATCCACCACTGTGACCAACAATCATTACCTGAACTTTATACCATTCAGGCCAAATTATGGAGAAAAATATTCCCATTTTCAAAGAACATGTGTGGGTTACATGTTATTTGTAGAGGTAGAAGTTAGAAGACGGTACTTTCATGTGTGTGTGTGTTAAATATGAGCTGATGTTTAGCTTAGCATAGACTGGACTGAAGGATTAGCCTAAAGCTAACAGTTCTACATGCTGGTGTGGACACAAGAGGGCAATCAGTGTAACTCTAGGCATGAAAGGGAATTAACATGTTTTTAAAATGTTTGTTTTTTAAAAAGATTTTATCAGATCAGTCTGATCAATACTGGATTTTGGGGGCTGACACTGATTATCGGGGTGCAGAAAAAGAAGGAAAAACTCTCTATATATGGCTTTCCAACAATGCATTTCATAACCATTAGGACACAGCTTGACTCCTCACCGCCGTCTCAGCTGCATGTGCTGCAGTCGTCGCTCAGCGTATTGTAAACAATGCCTCTGCTGGACAAACTATGTCATGACGCCATTTCTGAATTATTCTGTGCATCTTTTTCTGCATTAAAAATAAAAATAGGGAAAAAAAGCATTCTATATTTGTACATATTGAACAACATCTGTGCCCATACCGACGTATCTGTGATGGTCGGGCTCTAGACTGAAATGTTTTCTGTATTACGTGTGTTTTATGTGCAGCAGTCTCGGCATGTCTGGATAATTTGATGGAGCTGCTTTATGAAGCTGAAAGCCAAATGTATTTGACATTTAGTCATGTTGGGTCATAATTAAATCACATATTTCCATGAATTCTATAAAAAGCCTGTAATGAACTGTGATAAAATGTCAGCCTGCTTGCGTGGCAGTTTTTCTACCGTCCTGTCAGTTCTGTATCTGCTGTCCTTAAACATTATTGTGTTCATGTGTGTGTTTAAAAGGTCCTGCAGCTATTTCCAGTAAAGCTAATTAAAGCTGTACAAAAGGTTGACGGCGTGTGGCGTGACGTTGGGGATTACACCAGACTTTCCCCACAGCAGACATGTTGGCTGTCACAGCAGGAAGCACACGTTTAAGACGGTACGGAGGTGAGCCGGCACCGGGGTCCGTACCGTGAGCCGGTCCACTGTCACGGCTCACTGGGACGCTTCATGGAAGGAAGCCGCCGCTAATGAGATTTACCTCGTCTGTGTTTTTTCTGCCATGAAGTCAAAATGTCTGCAGTGAGAAAGCTTCATAAGACTAATGAAAGTGTCACTTCTCAGGTGTTAGCTGGTGAAGCATGGGAGTCAGAGGGATGTGCATCAGTGTGCACACGTCCTCACAGTGGTGATCAAACCAGTAAAGGCAGCGATGGAGCTGTCAGACAAACAGGATAGTCTGAATGTGTTTCCAGTAATAAACAGGTTCGTATTAAATGAGACAATGCTATCAGTTAAATAGTTGAAATGGAGTTTTAAAGGGAAGAAAAAATGGGTTTCCTGATTTTTTGACTGTAGCAATGAGAGGAAAGCATGACTAGCTAAGCTGAACCTAAAAACATGGTAACTGAACACATGGAGCACCTGCCTTTACAGTTACTCTGATATAAAATACAAAATTGTGTGGCTAAATGTGTAAGCATGCTGGAAAGATATGGACATTTCACGGTCGATGGATGGATGGATGGATGGATGGATGGATGGATGGATGGATGGATGGATGGATGGATGGATGGATGGATGGAAAAAATGAAATGAAATGGCTATAAATACATATATACACATGTAACAGTGCGACTAGTAACTTACACTGACTGCTGTAGTTTTATGACACAAGTCAGCTGTAGCTGCGTAGCTGAAAGGTCGGTGCTAGATAAGGTCAGCGTTTTCCAGCTTTGCTATATTTATGAACCTATTGGCAGACAAAGCACCTGTAACGACAGAAGTGTATCACCAGTCATTTCAGGTCATCGTCTGGCTGTCTGGTCCACAGCTCCACTGTTTGGGTTCACTCTCAGCAGCCCAACAACACGGTTATTGGCCACAGCAGGCAGCTTAAATAGAAGAAGCTCTACACCTGCTCAGCAGCACACAGCACTCGACTCGGTCTGGCGGCTCTTTGAGACAGAACACGACGACGTCACCACCGTTCGGGAAAGCCAATATTATAAGAAAGGAATGAGGCGTCCAATCAGGCGTGAAGGACAAAAGATAACATCTAAAATTCACTGAATTCTATGACAGGAGTTTGTTGGAAACAGGTTTTCCTCCAGCAGGTGTGTTTTAATACATATATAATCAGTGGTTTTAACAGTCTGGTTGTTGTCTGTCTGCGTTCAGACCTTACAAACAGGTGGAACAGTCACACAAAGTCTTCCATGACTCCTCTAAACAGGACGCTCAAAGGTTTTTTCTTACAAGCTGATGGAGACCAAAAGCGTAGCTAAAAGAGAGCATCAAAACCAAACTGAACAGAATGCTGATGATGCTCCGTAACCACTAGAACGAACCAGAACCGCTTCCAAAGGTACATGTCAGGTTCACCACTCCTGTAGGCCAACGTACAATCCTCTTCTTCTGACACTGTTTTAATGATTTATTAATTTATTTGAGTATTTATCAAAGCATACAGCCATAAACCTGATGACCTTTACTGCCTTCAGCCTGCCGGGGCCTCAGGATGCACCACTAAATAAGAGAGAACGGCTCCTGCCTCCAACTGTGGAGCCACATGATGATAAAATAACTTAGACAAAAAAAACAAGGGCAGAGAAATAGTCAGCGTGATGGATTACATATCTCAAGCGAGTTTCAGTATCAGCACCCAGCTGGAATGAAAACAAATCACATGCTGCCTGGAAGGAACCACAGGAACTCACCTCAGAGGGAACCGTGTGCTTTGGAAAATCCTGCGACGCGAATGCGATTCGTATTAATGAAGAATCATAATTTATAACCCGCAAACAGGCTCATTTATTAATTGTAAATGAGGAATTTCTGCTTCGAGCTGTCAATCATTTGTTCCACGTCGATATGCTTGTAATGAAGACAGAAGTGTTGTCGGCGTTACTCAGTTCCAGCATTAAAAACCTGCAGCTCTGAAACACCTTCCACTGGGACACATGTTGGGACGACACGCAGCAGGGCGTCCTGCTCGCTGAAGATAATCCTGGATGGCAGCATTTCAGGGCTTAGCTGTTTATAGCAGAGAGCTGCTGTAGGCCTCTCCGTCTGCTTCTACATAAACTACACCACCATTAAACAGTTCCAGAGAACAACAGCCACTTAAGAACTCTGTGAATGGAGGAAATTCTCCCCTCTGACGGGAATATGTTTTAAAATCGGTGGATTGGCTGCACCGTGGGCGCTGACGCCACCGTTTGTGACAGACGTGGCGTCAGAGTGCAGATGTCACAGACACTCCATCAGTTAGCGGTAATATGTGATCACACCACGCTGACCTCTGGGAAATTGAGTCTTTAATCACGACATCTCCAGACCCAGACTCCAGGTGAATTAGCATTCCTCAGATGCAATCTAATCTAGCAGCTTCTGCCACCGATTCATCCAGCGAGAGGACACTGTTTGACTTTGTGCCATGTAATGTCAATGCAATTCTGATTGATGACAAGAGGCGCCGGAGGCTGAGTGATGTGTCTGTGCTGAGTGTGAGCGCGATAAGCAAGGTCCTCGGTGCGTCGTCTACGGTCTCAGTATATCGTCACTTCAAAAAGCACGGCACAGGGAGACAAAGAATATTATGCTGGAAGTAACTCCTCATACAACAGAAAACCAACGCTAACGCTTCATTACGTTTATTTGGGCTCTAGCTGGAGCATTCCTACACATGGACGACTGTGCGTACCCATCATAACTGTATCTGCCCTTAATTTCCCATAAGGATAATTTATTTTACTGTCTTCCTGCCCCAGCCTCACCTACTGCCGGACAGCCGGTCTCTAAAGGATTTAAAGCGCTGACAGTCAAGAAGCCATTACAGCTCACTGAGAGGATGGCCAGCAAATTGGTTGGCTCGCAGGAGCAGTAAATAAGATGGAGGAGACCCATGTTTTCCGCCTTGTCAATAACTGGCCTTAGGGCGGCGGTGTCTTCAGTCAGAATTTAAATTCGGTGGCGAGTCAGGAGTGGAAGAAAGAAAGAAAAAACTGTAAAGAGACTTGGCTTGAGGTTAGAGAGAGCACAAAGAGAATGCAGCATGTTTGATCTGAGGTGGCAGCTGGAGGTTACACTCCAGCTACCAGCTCATGAGGAGTCTCAATCAGACTAAATGGTTTTCATGTGTGCAGCAGATCTGCCCGAGTGTCCTC